CTCCTCCTCTGTTCATTTTATAGTGTGCATGTATCACTTTATGGCATCCATCTATCTGGTAAACCTTGAAAAGGCTGTTGAGGCTGTGGATAAATCTGAGGGTGACACTCTGACAGTCCCTGATCTGCCTGTCCATGTTGCCTGAAATCTCTCTCGCCGATCGTAACTTTACTCTCTCACGCTTTCTGACATATTCTTCTGTGATGCAGAGGTGTGTGTGTGTGTGTGTGTGTGTGTGTCATCAGATAAACCAGATCAGCTCTAATGTCACCTGTCAAGGTGCAGCTGACAGGTGAAATATACAAAAATATTTCAGCATGATACAGCTTATTTTGGAGTTTGGTGTCAGAATGAGGAGCTGTGATCCAAGTGGGTGGATGTGTGTTGCAATTGAAGCTGGCATATAGACATGTTTGTGTGTGTAAAGGAGTATGTGAGTGTAATTAATGATGTGTTCCTCCTCTTCATAGGGTAATAGGATTTCCCCACCCCAGGCGGTAAAGAGATTGGGAGGGGGAGAAAACGGGTCTGCACGTATTTATATGTGTGTGTGTGTGTGTGTGTGTGTGTGTGTGTGTGTGTGTGTGTGAGAGAGAGAGAGAGAGAGAGAGAGAGAGAGTGTGTGTGTGTTTGCAGAGTTAGTGAATGGGAGCCCCATGTAGTGATGCCAATAGAGGGCCTGTGTGTGTGTGTGTGTGTGTGTGTGTGTGTGTGTGTGTGTGTGTGTGTGTGTGTGTGTGTGTGCAATAGGGGGGAGGGGGAACAAGCGAGTGATTTATAACAGCTACTCCGGGTCTCTCCTCTCTCCCACAGCAGCACTGCAAACACATCCATTACAAAAGTACTGATGTTAATGGGATTGTTGTGTGTGTGCGTGCATGCACCGGTGTGTGTGTATGTGTGTGTGCGTGCGTGCGTGATACAGAGGCTGCACAAGTGTGAGCGTGCACCTTCATGTGTGTGTCTGAGAGTGATAACCAGATGCTACTGGGTGAAAGGAAGGTGAAGGTTACTGAGGGTGCTTCGTGGAGGTTTACCAGTGCTCAAGTCCCAGTGCTAGTGTACATGTGTGTCTGTTTGTGTGTGTGTGTGTGTGTTTGTGTGTGAGTGTACATGTTTGTAGCTAAGCACAGGTGCGTGTGTATACAGGCATACAGCCGATTTGTTTTGGACCCTAACAGAGTCGGCTAATTCCAGTACCCTGCCTCCTTTGCTCTCTCTGGTTGTGTGTGTGTGTGTGTGTGTGTGTGTGTGTGTGTGTGTGTGTGTGTGTTGCTCTGCTGGAGAAACGCAGCTGAGATAGAGTGATAAAAACCGGAATTGAGGAAAAATACTCTAGAGAGTAAACAGAGGGAGCAAAGAAGAAATAAATAAAGAGGATGTAGAGGTTCTTGGTAATGGACTGGTAGATGCTGAGGACCACATCCACTTCAGTGCGTGTGTGTGTGTGTGTGTGAATATATATAGGCCTACACACACATAGTGTCTGCCCGGCTCCGCTCACATTACCCTTTACATTAAAACCAGTCAGGGGGAAAATTACTGCAGACCTGGGCCACCTTCTGCCCACCTGGCCCCACAGCAAGAGGAGGGGATGTGGAGCCAGAGGAGGGGATAAAGAGGAGGATAAGGGGATGGGGGGGGTCAGAAGGACCCAGTGAGGGACAGGGCTGCCCAAAGGCACTGGTCTGTAGTCATTTTCATGCAAGAAGGGAATTTCTGGTCCTTAGTCTGTGCCTGAGGGCCTCAGAAAAAAACCCTGACTCCACTGCTATTACCAGGGTTAAGGGGACAGAATTTGATTTATTAAGTAAAGTACTGCATTTAAAATTTAACTTAAAGCTGCTCTGATCAATATTTTTATATTAACAATGGATCAAATTAGTATATGTAACATATAAGGGATTGCTATAGAGACCAACTTACAGGGAATTATCACTTCACTATGTTAGCTTCTGCTCTACAGAGCATGTTAGCATCTTTTAGCTCATTGTTTTGGTTTCTGGGCCGTAACTTTACTGTTATGGTTCATTATTACACAGATAATTTATTTAAAAATCTCTGATAAACCCACTGTACGCTAGCTGCACAGCACCAAACAGCTGACAGATAGTTGGCGTCGACTAGCTGGTGAACATAGCGCAGCATTTAGCAGCTAAATAGCCAGATATTTCCCCCCCCTGGAATCAAGGTGGAGAGGAAAACCAGAGCTAAAATAAAATTAATATTGGACTTACATTCACTAAGTACTCAGAGACATGACTCCAGATGAATGCTAATGTTGCTCTGTCTCTGCACGACATGTAAATAGCCAACTGTTTGCTAGCATATTCACCATACCAACTTAATAAGCTAACAATACGTCAGTGTTGTGTTTTCAGCTCATTACGCTGCATCAGAATGTCAAAAAATGAACTGATGCAGATTTAAATAGAGGTAAATAAGTATTATCAATAAAATAAGGGTTTAAATAAAGGGTTTTATTACTGTATGCAAAATAGATTCTTAATAAGGAGAACGTGCTAGCCAAACAGAATTTTTTTTTCACAATCTGGCAACCCAAAAGTTGTCCCTGTTATTGGTCTATGATTAATCTATAAACCTTTCATAAGTGAGTTCATAAATATTAATATGGTTATGAATTACAACCCATAAAATATTTATGAAATATGCCTTAATGTAAGTGGTATCCAGCAATTAAATCATAGCTAGTTCAGATGTAGCTAATTTAAACTACTTCATTTACTGTTGGGGATTTTTATTTTATAACAATCACATTTAATTAGTTAATTATACGTTTAAAAAAAAAAATCTTAATCTGCAAAGTACACAAAAATAGTACGTATATCTGTCAAATTAATGCAGTGGAGTAAAAAGTGCAATATTTTCCTCTAAAATGTAAAAGTAGCATCAAAAGGAAATTTAAAATAAAGTACAACTTATTTTAAATTGTATGTTAGTTCAGTACTTGTTGTAATAACGTACTATTAAGTAAAGAAAATAGAAAATACAGTGAGTGATGATATTTAGGACGGAAGTCAGTTCTTCAAGTTGTAAGAGAAGGTTTTATTACCAGTGCTATTTACATAGAAATAATACAGCCTTGCCCCCTTTCCCCACCCACCCTTAAATGTGCACAAATGCACACACACGCACACATGAGCAAGCATACGATCACCCCCCCTCAAGCGTTCACACACACACACACACACACACACACACACACACACATACACACACACACACAACCACACGCTCACACACTCACTTTTGTATCCAAGAATATCTCAGTACATCAGAAATAAGACACATTCTTTCTAGATCTTATACAATGTCCAAAGGAAATGCAAATTTAATCAAAAATAATATTCAAGTAGATCTAACTCATTGTGGACAAACAGCATCACAAGTGTGTTGTGCGAGACATGTTGTGTACGACGAGACGCAGCTGAAAGAGGAGAGACGGAATGGATTTGAAATGAGGAATTATGGGAGGTTTTGTATTGAATAATATCAGCTAACTTGGGTTGTATGTCATCTTTCAGCAGCTGTGTTATGAGGGGAGATGAAAAATGTTGTATTGGCTTTTCAAAAATCGGAGCCCTGATGACACTTGACCATGAAACTGCAGAATTATCTATTGACGTAATTTTGAAAAAAAAAAAAAAAAGGGAGAGAGAGAGAGAGAGTTTGTCCTCTGCAGTACAAAGACGCTCATAAACACACAGCTGGACTCTGCTGCTTTTTAAGAGGATTTCTTCTTTTTTTTTTTTAATTTTGTGTGTCTTGAGAAACGCGGCCACTAGGTGGCAACGAGAGCTTCAGAGCAGACTGGTAATGTCACAGATGTAGTCTGCCCCCTCTTTTGTTTTCTCTCTTTAGAGGAAGGAGACCTCAGCTGTTGAAGGAGATTCTCCATTATGGGTTCAATGTTCTTTTGAAAATCATTTCCATTAAAACATGTTTTTTAAAAGGGATAGTAACAAAAGGAAGGTCAGGAGAAGCAGTGTGCGGAGCAGAACTATCAGGGCCGCCTGGATGGGTGTGAGATGTCTCTGTGTGTGTGTGTGTGTGTGTGTGTGTATGTAGGGGTACAAGTGTCTGTATAATTGTGTCCGTGGTTTGAATAATGTTATAGACATCTTTCTTTTAAGCTATGATCAAGAGCGATTTTTGTGCATTAAGGGACTTATAGCTGAGTTGTGTACTACAGGAAGTCAATGCCTGAGGTGTGTGTGTGTGTATATAGTGTGTGTGTGTGTGTGTGTGTATACAGTTTCTCTCAAGCAGCAGCTTTTAATTTGACATATTGTCTCACAAAAGAAAGTTTAAAATGAGCAACGTTTTCAACCAAACATATCCTGTCTTCATCGCCACGTATGTGTTTGTATATGAACATTAAAGCATGTGTTAAACCTGGTCCTTTGTCTTCTTAATATTGAGGGTAGAGTGGCAGCTCAGCAATAAAGACAGGTGTAAAGCAACAGAATGGAAAAACTCAAATATTTCTTTGAAGCAATGTTGTTAAAAAAAAAAAAAAAAAAAAAATGTGGTGAGAAATTCAGACAACTAAAGATGTCCCCTTTGGCATTTCTCTCTAATGTGTTCCTAGAGCATTAGAAGATACCTTCGTTAACATAAAGGGGAAGGCGAGAAGCATTTTTGCTGGGTAGAATCGCAACTTTTTTTTTTTCTTTTTTCTTTTTTTTTTAATAGTTCAAGTCCAGTAATCCAGGAAGGGATATGCTTTGGAGTGTCTACTGGGCAGCAAGTATTACCTTTTCCAATAAGCTATCCCATTCTCGAGTCCATTCCCAAGTCCATCAGTTCGTCAACTGTCAAGATCAGTCCGCGATTTTAAAAAGTCCTCTGTAGAAATTTCAGCTGAACTTTTCACAATGTGGGTTTTTTTTCTCCCTCCCTCCCTCCCCCCTCCCGTTCATCTCCTGAATTAACGAGGCTGAACATTCAGCCCAGGAATAGTCCCTGTGGTTCATCCTTTACCAGGCTGTGGTTTCTCCCATCTCCTGGCCTTGGTGGGACATGGGCGCGCTGTAGCTGGAGTTACTGGCCAAGGAGAAAGGAGGACTGGGTCCGCCACCGTACGCCTCCCCCGGGACAGGCTGCAGGGAGCTCGGTAAGCCCGGCTCCGGACTGGGGGTTTCCGCATGGGAGATCATGTCCGTGAACCTTTGGTCGTCTGAAGGGTGGTGGCCCGATCCCTCCATGGCTCCGGGGCCAGAGCCCAGGATGTAGGGGGACTCGGCTGGAGACTGAGCCTGTGAGGACGGAGGGCCGTGGGGGAAGAAGTCGTAGTTGCTTCCTGGTCCGTAATAGTCACCTTGGTATTCTGTGGAGGAACAGAAGAATACGTGGGGGTTAGACTTTCTATCAAAGACTTTGAATATACATTAAAAAAAAAACATTCACACTTCCCCAGAGCGGCGTGCAGCTTTACACACAGCTACACACCTACCTAAGTGGTGAAATTGATCATGTCCAATTTCCAACCAACCGGTCTCCAACAGCCTCATTTGAGTGTATAAACAACTCCACACCTCTCCACCTCAGTTCTCTCGCCTTTTACACACTGCATTCATCTCCCTCACTCATTCAGCTCGCAGCCATGCGTGCGCCTCGATAGATTCCCCTGCTGAAACTTCTGGATTTGGATGAGGAACTCCAAAATGAGATTCCAGCCTCCCTGCAGCCCTGCCAGGTCTTGTCAGCTGCATCTCTTTGTCATGTCTGATGCAGCTTCCAGCAACATCCCTCCTCCTGCACCTCACTGAGCTGCACAGATCACTCTGCATTATTCCAAGCATGCAATCCTGCCAGGGCTGAAACTAACGGTTGGTTTTTATTGTTGATTAATCTGATTCATCTAATTTTTCTTATTAATCAGTTCGTTAGAAAAAAGTGCAATGTGCCCATCAAGACTTCTAAAAGCTCATATTATCCATATTATGTTCAATTTACACAGAAAATCAGCAAATAATTTCATTTGAAAAGCAGGAACCAGAGATTGTTCAGTATTTTTGCCTGACAACAACAACAAAAAAAAAAAAAAAAGGAGTAGATTTATTTTCTGTCAGTCTATCTAATCAATTATCTGTTTTGACTTTTCCATCCCAATAATTTCTCCCTTTTAATTACAACCTCGCTCCACAGTTTCATCCACTTCACGCTGCTGCTTCCAGCGCGGCAGCAACTGCACCTCTTTAGTTCATGTGCTCTCAGCTTGAGGTTGTGTTACTGCTGTGTTTTATTCACAATCACAGTGTTGGCCCATCAATAGCTGTGGTAGTGACAGGTTTACCCCCCCCCACACACGCTATTTTCATCTTTGCCACGATATCAGTTGTGCAGCATCACGAGACAAAGTCAGCAAATCATTGAGAAAGCCCATAAATACACACACACACACACACACACACACACACACACACCTGCACCAGGCAAAAGCAATGGCTCTATGTTATTAGCCTGTAAATTAATAATCTAAACTCATTCCAAAACCGCAAACACATGAAACGTTAGTCAGTAAGGATTCATCCTCTGGGGACCACGATTGGTAGAAAAACATATCTGCTAAAACACCTTCAAGCTTACAAACTCTCTCCGTCTGTCATGTCGAAAATTCCTCAACTTTCTCATGGCACTTCACTTCAAAGCGCTGCAGCAAAAAACAACAACAACAACAACAACAAAAAAAACTTCAATGCAAGACACATTAATGAGTGAATACAGCCCCAAAATCTCCAGCACACACTTGGATTTACACACATTTCCTACTTAACCTGTGACACTGACTGACATGTTTATGCCTCTGAGCGGTGTCGGCTCAGTCTTGGTCCCTGACACGTACGTTCACACTCCCTTTCTACCAAGGTGACATTTTCATACATTATTTATGGATTGAGCGAATCTCGAAATGCATCTTGAGGGCCGTCCACTACAACCTGGATCCGTGACAAAAGGGTTAAAAGGGCCGCTACACCCAAACACATATTTTTTTACATGGGCAGCGGAGGCCATGTTTGATTCCCAGCTGGTCACACTGTTTGTTGCGTGTCATTTTGCACATTTCCTGTCTCTGTCCTCTATCAATATCAAATCATAGGGTCTATTTAATCAGTGGTTCCAATGAGAAGTGATTACAGGATGTTCTGTGGATGCAAAGTAACAAGGAAGCTGTTTGCGATATATTTGTGTCTCTCAAAACTAAAACCAGCCATAGAGATCATTACAGGAAACAAACGGTGCACACATGAATCCAATCCTGAGATCCATCCACACCAAACTTTCAACACAACCAAACCAACAACTGGACTCCACTCAGAAGCCCCCAGTTGCTCCGGATCACTCGATCCAATGTGAGTCGCTCTGCTCAACCTTATCAGGAATACTTTGACATTTCAGGATATAAACTTATTTGCTTTCTTGCCAAGTGTGAGATGAGAAGATCGATACCACTCTCATATCTGTCAGCTAAATATAAACTCTGCAGCCAGTAGCCAGTTAGCTTAGCTTAGCATAAAGATTGGAAACAAGTGGACACTAGCTAGCAAGTCTCTGTCTGAAGGTAACACCATCCACCAACCAGCACCTCTAAAGCTCATCAATTAACATCTTATATTGAACTTTGTTTAATCTGTATGAAATCTTCTAAGGTTGCCAGGCAACCAGCAGAGACAGTCAGAAAGTCACTGTACCCGGCCAAGAAATTGTCCAGCACATAAGTTTCTGTACGGATTCAGCAAACAACACATAACATGTTGATTTGTGACTTTTAAAGGTGGATTTCATTACCTTTGGACTTTCTCCCTGTTTCCTGTCTTTGTGCTAAGCTAAGCTAATCACGGCTATAGCCTTATATCTAAACACGAGAGTGGCGTCGATCTTCTCATCTAACTCTCAGCAAGACAAAATGTCACTGCTCCTCGAACCCTGCACCAGCCATACGTCCGGTCTGACGGCCATGATGATCCAATCAACGCAGCCGCAGACTCAAAGAGAGGGACAGCGACTCAAGTGACAATCAGACTTGTGATGTGGAGCTTTTGGAAGGAGCCACATTTCCTGAACTGTTTATCAAAAAAAACAGTTTATGTAGGAGTCATCTACTCCCCCCTCGTGCAGCCAATTACTTCACACACCGTTTGCATTTGTTAACAATTACAAACCTCCACCTGCCTTTCTCCGTCTCGCCACTCACATCCCGCCCTGCTCCGAATTCCCTCACTTACATTAAATCCATTCTGTTTCAACTCCACCTTGAACTGAGATCGATGGCAGACTTTACCCCTTTGCCCCAGATGTTGCACTAGCATTTCTCCACCACCCCACCCCCCTCGACTTCCCACCCCCTCTCCACACCCCCACCATCACCATATGCTCCTCTCACTCCTATTTCTGCGTTAACAGGCAAAATCGAGAACTCACAAGTTAGAAATCAAGAAATATGCTGCCTAATTATAACAACCGCATTTATTTGCTGCTCGTTGCTTTTGGAGATTATCAGGAGAAACAATAAGAGCTGACATGACTTCCACAAACACAAATTATTTGATGTCACACACAGGCCCCTGCTAGTTTGGCCGACCTTGAGAATAAGCAACAAGCTTGTGTTGTGGACTGTGTGTGGTGTTAAGACGGGGAGTCGTGTTGGGAGGTGCAGGGGTGGGGTGGCGTTGGCTCTGCAAACTATAATTACACTCACACATGCAGATGCACCATACCACACACAGGCATCCCTGCCTCTCAGCAGCGGCAGAGGAACATAAGGAAGCGGCGAGCTCGCATGAAAGGCGCAGACCGGCCCGATGCTGCTGCGGCACAAAAGGGTGTGAAAAGCAAACGTTGCGACGAGAAGCGAAGGAGGGAGAGAGAGAGAGAGAGAGAGAGAGAGAGAGAGAGATGAGAACAAGGGATGAAGGTTTTTGTCCTTTGTTCCCCCCCTCCCGCTCCCTGCATAGAAGCCTTGACGGCTCGAGTTTATTGTATCCTCAGTGCAGGGGCCCTTCAGGTGGATGTGCACGAGCTGTATATATATATAAATATATATATATATATTTCTCCATCAAAAACAGACTGCTGATATACATGACAGCCGCATCTGGTTTATTCCTCCAGTTCAACGTGTTGCTGTTGTTGTGTTAGTGCGGCGTTGTTATCCGCCGCCCACCTGCTGTTGTCACAAGATGATTTCTTTTTCTTGATGCAGGTAACCAGTAGATGCTTAAATACAAATTATTTTTTTCCCAAGTGGTCCTTATAAGCATTTGTGAACAAGTGAGAATGTGACAGTTAATATCTAATTTTCTGCCTTTAAAATGTTAGCTGAGCTAAATTAGATGAGATTTCTCTTTACCAAAAGTTTCTTAAAGCTTATTTCATAACTAGAAGAGAAGATCTATACTGACTGAACAGTGGCCAAGGCTGGAGCCGTATCGAGGACCGATCATACGTTTGAATAAGATGAATAGATTAAAGAAAAATCACATGACCCTCAATGTCCCAATAAACTACAGTGAGGTTACATCTGTGGTGAACAGTAGACACAGCCTTTATGTAATCTGCCTGCAGCCTGATAACAGAGCACATCTATTATCCTTGCTGGTGCCGCTGAAGGTTGCAGTTCAGTTACAATATCACATTGGAGAGAGGGTGAAACCAGGAGACTCTCGCCCATACTGCGCATTAATGACAGTCGTGTGGTATATTTAAAGACATGCAGGGTTTTTATCACAAGCGTTATTTCTTACCTCCATAGTAACCATAGGCCCCAGGTCCCAAAATGTCCGCATCCTCCAGCCTGCCTCCCAGGGGCCTCATCCTCCTCGGGCCCCTGAAGAAGGCGTGCCGCCGGGCGCCCAGAGCGCTCAGCTGCTTCATTCGTCGCTCTTTGGATCTTCTGTTCTGGAACCAGACCTGCGTGAAACCAGAGAGACGCCACAGTTATCAGCTGATCTCAGCAGCCATCACTGTTTTCACTCAAACTTCCACTCAGAGCGAAAATCATGTCGTTGTAAGATTCAGACAAGATTCAGTCGACTGCTTCCTGCACCAAAAAAAAAGAAAAAGAAAAAGAAAAACACCAGACAAAATTGAAAACAAATGAATATGTATCAACTTTAATTGAATCTTGATCATTTTAGCTAATTTCACTGATATTTAATTTCATGCTCACGGTTACAGAGTTTGTGTAGAAACCAGAATTCAAATCAGACATTAACTGCTCTTTATTAAGTCAAGTTTTATCTATTTTCTTTATTATTTAAGCCCAAAATAGTTCATTATTCAAATACAAACAAACCATTTCTCCTTTGATAACAAGTATTTGCTCCTGGCCTCTCATGATCCTGATTCTCTGACACCTCTGTCTCCATTTTCAACTGTATTTACTGTCTAATAATCCGTTTCTTTGGTGTTAAAATCATCCAACTCAAAGTGCTTCACCACTCACACATACGCACTTAAACTAGTCCAAAACTAACCAAATGTGAAAAAAGAAACATTTCCAATGCAAAGTCAGAATTACACAGGTAAGATCGGTTCAGCTCTGGCACACAGTGGACGATAACACCACAGGCATTTTGTGCCTGTAAGTTCAGTCAGGTGGAAAAGGGGCCCTTTGTGTAGGTAATGGGAATGTTACACTATATCACAAATTAACAAAGACCAAGTCAGAAATGAGGAGAAGCATAAAGCACCATTGTAAATTAAATGTCTTATCTATGATGGAATATAATTTGACTCTATAACCAGGTGATTTTATTATAAAAAACACTTTCTGCTGCACTTTCTGAGTCATAAACCTGTTTTTCTTTTGCAGACACACACACAACCTGGTGCACCTCAGCACAAGTTCAAATAAACAGTCGAAGCCATGAATCAGAGGATGAAAGGCTTATCACTAACGTTAAGTAAACTGTCTGTGAAGAGGAACAAAGGGGGATTTTCAAAATAGCAAAACTACACAACATATGGAAAGAAACGTCTTTGCATTATAAGCACATAACACATCTTGTTTCGCCTTTGCATCACTGCTGCATAATGATGTATGTTCACACCAGTTAGGCTACACCAGAGGCAGAATCCTACTGTGCTGCAGATTAACAAAAACACACACACACACACACACACACACACAAAAAACACCTAAAACCACTTAGGCTCTGCTCTGTGTGCTCCAGCGGCAAAGGCGACACCTGCTTATTGAGAACAATCGTCTAACTGTAGGGTACATTTTTATGGAAATGCTCTCGCTCCCCTCGAGAGAGCGTTGCTTAGGGATTACATACACATGCTGGAGAAGCAGCGTGGCTCGCAGGGCTCCCCGCGTTGAGAGCAATGGTATTTAACACACAGCGAACGAGGAGGAGGAGGAGGAGGAGGAGGAGGAGGAGGATGACGAAACAGAGCCTCCATTTTGGCTCCGAGCAACACGGCGACAGTCAGGAGGTGGGGGATCACGGACAGAGGGATGGACTGCCTGCCTGCCTGCCTGCCTGCCTGCCTGCCTGACTGAATGACTGATTGATTGATTGATCGACTGGGCTCTCCTAATGCACACACACACACACACACACACATGCACACACACACATCAGCAGCCTGCAGTATAGGATATAGATGAGGCAGTGGAGAGGCCCCGGTCTGCTCTAATAGGCAGTGGGAACAGGCTGTAAGTGAGTAAGAGCAGAGAGGTGGGAAAGGGGAGGGTGGTATGTAAATCTGTGAAATCAGCGATAATTACAGTGAGTGCACAAAAAGCCACATCACAGTTGGCAGAGATGGTGCTAATCATCCTCACACAGTCTGCACCCAGACACCGAGCGAGCGAGCGTGTGTGTGTGTGTGTGTGTGTGAGGATGAAAAGACAGAGAGACAGACAGAGAGAGAGAGAGAGAGAGAGAGAGAGAGAGAGAGAGAGATTCAAAACACTGAACGCTTGTGTTATACTGCAAACATGTTTGCCTTTGGCAAAAACAAAACTAACCTTTCACTAATTTCATGGCTGTGGAACAGGAATGATTAAACTGAAATAAACTGCTGTCTGCACAAAATAAATGATAGTCCTGAAAAAAAAAAACATGCTATTTATTATTATATCCCTGCATCAATAAATTGGATTACTAGATCTTCATTTCAGAGAATAAATTAGCGCCTGCAGATATGGATATAAAGAGGAGTGGAATTTTTAATTTTAGGAATATGAAAATAGTGACAGGGAGAGCTATTCATTTTGTTCAATTAAATATACAACTGTGTTAGAATTATGTTAAATGAAAATACAAATTCATTTATTTTTAATAATAATATTATCACAACCTCTGCAAGAAGAAGCTTGAGTTTGTTATATGGAAATACAAAACTCTTATGTCAGGTGTATTTTACTATTAATGTATTGTTTGCTTTTTTTTTAATACGATAAAACATATTAAAATGAAAACTGTCTTTGGCATCTGATTATAAGATTATTATTATTATTTTAGAAGTAGATTTTATTTGATATTATTTCACAAAATATAAGAAAACCCAGCTGGTTGACAACACGTGTGGCGAACAGATTAAATGTGGCTCATGTTTTGGTTTCTCTCTAACAGATAAAGGCGCCTTCGGTAAAATTAATAAGTAACTCCACTGATTTATAATCCGTCATTTCTCACTCATTCGTCTCTGTCACACACAAACACGCCGCTGATCTCACCTGGATCACCCGCATGTTTAGTCCCGTTTCCTGGGCCAGCTGTTCTCGGATGTGCCGGGTCGGTTTCGGCGTGGCGACAAACGCGGCCTTTAACGTTTCCAGCTGCTTGGCCTTGATGGTGGTCCGGGGCCCCCGCCTTTTGGCCCCGGAGTTCTGCTCCTCGTTCTCAATATTGTTCGTTTCCTTATCTGAGGACGTTGAATTGTCCGTCTCTTTTATGTCGTCCTGTATTGGGTCCTGCAGATCCGGCGATAAACTCCTGTCAGTACACGACGACACTGGAGAGGGAAAACAAACAGGAGGAAGGTCACGATCCCAAATGTAGAAGGGGTGGGGGGGTGGGGGTGGATTGGAGTTGGAGGGGGGGTCTGCTGTAATTAGGCCTGGAGATGCACAGAGGCAATCCAGACTACAATGGAAAATATATCTAAATATTTTACTTGTATATCATTAATAAAATCTGTCCAAAAAAAGCACCTAAATAACATTTCTGCATTTGTTTCCCGCACAAATATTTTCTCATATTTCTTTCTTTCTTTAAAAAAAAAAAAATAATAATAATAATAATAATTTGTAATTTGCAGATTTGGTTTTGAAAGTTCCCAGAAACTAAAGCTAAAATAAGCAGAAACTAACCCTGATTATTCCCTTCAAAAAAAATGACACAACATCACATATAAATTCACATATTTGTGCTGTTGGCTGCAGCCTGAAACAAGGGAGCGTGACACCCTCAGCACCCAGGGGTGTGGAGTGGGGTCGCGGTCCTGATGATGAGCTTTCCTACCAGGATGAATAGACAGCGGAGGAAGGAGCAGACTAACGTGCTCATCCCCAGTGGACCCTGACGTACAATAACAGAAAGCCATTGTCCTGTGGAGGTAAATATTGAAGCCGGGCCGCAGTGACACGATCTGCACGAGCTGCTGCTAAATGTCCAACACAGACTGAACCATCCGGCGCGCGAGAGAGCCTCCAGACTCCTGCCCCCCTTTGTTCCTGCAGGCCGGTTTTATTTTGAGTGTTTTCATATCAAACACACAGAGATTTCTTTGCTTTATGAAATCGAATAGGACACACACACACACACACACACACACACACACACACACACACACACACACACACACACACCGTGGCTTATTATTATGATCATCATGGCGTTGCTTACCTGAGTTCAAGTTGACTTCCTTAATGGCCCCGGAGCTCAAATAATCTTCTTTGCACACAAACTTGTTCTCGTCTATCACGTAGAGCTCCTCTCCCGTGGACAGCTGCTTGTTACACACCATGCAGGTGAAGCAGTTCAGGTGAAACACCTTGCTGCGCGCCTTGCGCACCAAGTCGTTTGGCGAGATTCCCTGCAGACAGCCCGCGCACTTAGTGCCAAACCGCCTGGATGAAGAAGGAAAAAAAACGTGAAATATTTGTTTCTCTTAAAATCTAAAGCGTGATTTCACTCTGCTCAGGCCCACACCCGGTTATAACACAATATCATGTAAATTATACATTCAATTTTAAAATTCAAACGTGCCTTTTTATGTCTACACACGTACAAATCAGTCATAATATAAGGACTTAATAATATCATAATAGTTTGGTTGGAATATATAAATATAAATACATTAATCGGGCCAATATTTACAATAGTCACATTTTAATAATGCTAAAAAATATTCTTACTTCCAAGCTAATAATATACTAATAATCTTATTTAAAGTACCATATAATCATATACAAATAGTCATGTTTAGTATTTTAGTATTAAAGTAATTAGTAAACAATAAACAACAATAAACAAAGCATGTCTGCATTTCTCCATAGAAGTGAACTGAGAAAATAAACAGTGGCTTCTGGGACCAGAAAAACAAACAAACAAAAAAAAACAAGTGAGACTTTCCATTTAAAAAATGGAGATAAAAAAAAAAAAGCCGCGTGCTCATAATAATTTTTGATGGAGGTGCTCTGACAATAACCCCACGCAAAACGTATTAGTGACAATCAACACATTGTAGCCACGGATATATTATGGGATTAAGCAGAGTAGGAGCATCTTAGCGTGAAAATCTTCTCTTAATCCATATTCACCCGCTTAAATACTGGGTGGGAAGACTCATCAATTTGATACACAAATAGCCCAAATAAATTCTGCAAGAAATGCCCTCCTGATATGACAGGATGAGGAGCAGAGGGAAGAAGAAGAAGAAGAAGAAGAAGAAGAAGGAGAGGAGGAGGAGGAGGAGGAGGAGGAGAAGGAGGAGGAGGAAGAAGAAGAAGAAGAAGAAGAAGAGGAGGAGGTGACTGGTTTTTGTCATTTTTTTTTTAAAGAGAGAGAAAACAGATGTGACTGATGTTTACAGATATTTCTCACCTGCACTGACGCTTCTCTTAGTAAGAGGAGTTTCAGCAGATGTTCGAGGCTCACACTGGGCCTCCTGTACCTGGTCTAAACATGGGGCGGGACGGGGGGGGGGCTAAGCCTTTGGGTGAAAGCAAGCACTCTTTTTATGGAGCATTGTTTTAACACTAATGTAGGCTTGTGTCTCCATTTGCAATGGTATCGTTTACTACCAACCCCCCCCCTTTCACATGCATGGCCGAGCCCCCCCCCCTCCCAAAGCGAAAGGGGGCACAACTCTACTTACACAACAAATGGACACATTAGGGTGATTACTGTTTCGCCTGGCTAATGGCTGGCCATTTAAAATCCACAGCTTGATGGGACCTGCGGTAATATGATGGCCAAGGCCGCGCGAGGCCAATAATAGCCGGGCCCAACAAAGGCTGATGTGTCTTACATCTCATTAGACAATTTGGGAGAAAATAACTGACACACACACAAATGAAAATGATGCTAAGAGAGCGCGACGGGACAAACAAGGGGCTTCACTTATCACTCAATTACCTGAAACACTTTTTTAGGGATTGTGAAGCGGTTAATAGGCTGATGGCTGTTTGGAGAAAACTGGAAAACAGATCAAAATGCAGAGCACAGAATGCACGTGGCTGCTGAGTGAAATTCAATTTTATCTGTCCCTTCTTTTATTGCAGAGGCCACACGGTCCATGACACGAGCAACACTTCATTAAGGGGAATCCTACTATTTCAAAAATAAAGGATTTATTGCATTTATTTTAGGTGGTAACCTTTATTTTATTCCCTAAATAATTTTTTTAACCTGTGGTTTAATATTCTGCCCTCTGTGCACACAATTTAAGTTTAAACCTGAATTTATTAAACATATTATTATTGCTCTAATTTTTATTATTTTATTTTTGTATTTTAGAATCGATATTGCATCATGTTTAACTGTGATATTATATTGTTTTGGAAGCTGGAATAAGAGCTCTGAGTCCAGACTCTGCTTTACCTGAAAAAGTCCATTTTGCAATAGAGCTTTCCGTCCCTGGAGAAGCACTTCTCGGTGAGGTTGCAGTTGCACTCACAGCACTGGACGCACTTGGCGTGCCAGGCTCTGTCCAGCACGTTGAGGAGGAACCGGTCCAGGATGGGCCGTTCGCACCCGGCACAGTGGACCATCATGTCTCCGGCCTGCAGGGCGCCGAGTGCCGACCTTCCCACACGGACTGCGCTGCTCGGACTGAGGCAACCCGGCTCTACGCGGAACAACGTCTTGGCTCCGGGAGGTGTGCTGTCAGGCGAAAACTGGAGGACCCTCCCCGTTCAAAGGCAGCGGACGGAGTGACAGTCCAGGTCCTGTTGTAGTCCCGGTCCTGTTTGGTCGCTGTCCTGGCACTTGTCACAATCCACAATCCAGAGGAGAGGAGCAGAGCTGTGAGCCGCGCCAGCTGATGGACTGCGTAATGGACAAAGCGGGCATGTTTTCTCACGAGCACACAGTTAAAACATCATCATTCAGACGTGATTATTTGTAATACTTTATCCCTCGCTCGTGCTTTGTTTTGGGTCCAGTCATTTCCTTCGGGCTCACCTCACGTCGCCACTTTCGCATCACTGTGCCTGGGTTATCACGAGGTTTTGCCAGCGCTGCGCGCAACCTGCTCTCAGATTGGATGACGCCCTTGTTAATTCCCGTGCAGCGGAGCCAATCAGAGCGCAGTTGTTATGGTTACACGTTCATAGCTGTAGCCTCATAGCGGACCTGAATCCACACGCCGTGCAGAAATACCAGGGCCGTGGAAGCAGCGTGATTCTAGTGGCGCTTTTTAAAGGCCAGCTCGCATGTGGAAGGTTTCATGGAGGGTCGTGGAGACGGCGCTGACTTTACAGGGGAAAGGTATGAGCCGCAGGTTAGACAGTGCACCCCCAGGAACCTCCCCGCAACATTTCTACAGGACCTTAAAACTCGAAAGTCCACAGAAAGCGATAAAGGTTAGGAAATACCTGCACAACAGGCGCGGGGAGGGCGTCTGTACACGGCGCGGCGCTGCCACTGAAATGAATCTGATTAGATGCAATGGGAGTGGGAGTAGCCGAACAAGGGGGGCTAATGCTACACAACCTTATTACGGCCTTGTGACAAAACCTCTCACACCGCATCACACTGTGGCCGAGGCTCGGGTGGAGAGGAGGGGGCCGCGGGCCTTTTCTCATGCAGAAAGCCATTTACAGGGAAATGCGATGGATTAGCTGGAGCTCATCAATAGGGAGAGCCCGGTCACCCGGTGCTTTAACAGAGTGGCCGCCAATCGAAGGGAATTTCAATATTTACCAACAGCCTTGTTTTGTTAGTTGCAGTTAAGCAAACATGCAGTGGGCTAATTCATGTTAGCGGGACGGCTGAGACTGGTTTAAGCATTTTCTCCAAACGTTAATGGTGATTCATCTGATAATAAACCAACATTTAGACAGGAACAGATAAACAATATGACTATCTATCTATCTATCTATCTATCTATCTATCTATCATCTTTAGTTCAACAATGAAGTTGCCAGATTTGAAAAAGTACCACATATCCACTGTTTTCTTCATTGTATTTGTCTCACATTGTTTTTGTTTTTCTCCTACACATCTACACATAATTGGCAGCAGTTTACTTCCTCAGCCTCAAAGCACCAACGGCAGAAAGTAAAGCTGAATCCCACAGTGTCCTTGTTTTGCTCAGGAGCACTTTTACAAGTAGACAGGAGCCCAACTTTACCATTAATGTCTAACCCATGCTACCACTTTCTTTTCTTCCTTCCTGTTTTTGACGTACTGTACATGCCAAACCGTTCTGTTCATGGATGCATATGAACCATTCCACTCAGCTGCAGCTGTTATTAGTGTTTTTCCTATCAAAAAAAAAACAAACAAAAAACTTTGCCCCAGATGCCAAGTGTTGCATTTATGCTCCAGGTAGCAAAGGTTTAACCTGGGTATTTCAGGCCCTTTGTATAGAGACAAGGCTGAATGAGTTTCCCCAATTATCCAAGCTCCTAACACGGAGCTCTTTAGCCTGTAAAACGAGAGAGAGAGACAAAATATCAGAGAGAGAGAGTGAGAGAGAGAGAGAGAGAGACAGGGGTGGGGGGATTCAGGAGAGGCAGACAAAAAGCCCACGGTGGGAAAAAGCGCATGTGAGGCAAATACGTACAATCACCCTCGATTGTGTGTCGCCTCCATCACATTGTGCAAAAGGAATAAAAAAAATTTTAAAAAAAAGAAAGAAAAAAAAGCTGTGTTTGCTTTAGCTGGGCTCGGCTCTCCTGTGCACACCGAGAGAGCGAGATACTCACCTGTGGAGAAACATGAGGGAGCTGTCCGTGGTACCGAAAGGCGCGAGCACCAAGGACAGCAACAGGCTCTTCTCTTTTCAGTGGGAATACCACATTACACGATCACACGCGGGCTTACGCTCTGTTCTGAAGACACCATGTACATATTAAACGGAGTCTGACACCTGGCATTGATTGGAAACCGGCTTCAACTCTGGCCTTAAACCAATGATTATAATAACATGACTTGGCATTTCATTCCACTATTCAAACAGAATACATTTTTTTTGCTTTTACACAACATTTTTTTTTTCCCTTGTCCTTCAAGTACTTTAAACCTTTACTTCCCTTTGAGGCCTCATGTAATGTTTTTCAGGTGCTGAAGATTTATGTCACACTGCAGAGACTTGAAAACCACACTGGTGAAAACTTAAAGGCGGGTTACCTGGGTCTAGTTGAGTCTATTTAGATTCCACATAAGGAAAGAGTTTCTCAGGTGGAGTCAGAAAGGAAATATAACATTTATTGTATTATATGATCAGACTGATAAAAGAATACCATGGTGTTTTATTTAAATACTTGTATTTGATGTATTTGTTTGATTCTTTATTCACTGTATGGTACAAAGAGCACACAGGTGTGTCACTGAAGTAATGGCTAAACACAGATTTGTCCTTTTTTGAAGCGACCTGCGAGTCGTTCCATCAATGCTACAGGAAGCAAAATGTCTCAATAGAACATTAGAAATTCCTTCAATTTTATAGAATCTCAAAGTAAAGCTCGGTTAGCCATATGCCCCGGGATTTTATTTTAAGTTTCAACACATTCAATTGTAAAATCTCGTCTTTTTTTTTTTTTGCCTGTGCACAAAGGATTTTAAAAGAAGCCTTCACACAGGCTGCAGCTGAAGGAGGGATTGTTGTCATTCACCTCATGGAATAAAGATTACGGAGCGGAGTAAAAGTTACAGGAGAGGATTCAGAGATGATTTGCAAATCATGAATAATTTTGATGAACCGTTTTATAAATGACCAATACTGCTATTTATTTATCTATTAATGTTGGAGGATGGGAGCTTCGTTTGAGCGTCACAACTATTTATGCGTGCATACAGACCATCACAACACATAATTCTCAAGGACCAACATTTGAAGTGGTTTAAGCATGGGTACGTTTTCTTTGCTGAGAGGCCTTCATGAAATATCTGTGCAGCCGCTCATCTCTGTCACTCTCTTTCAGTCTTTCTAGTTGGTAATGCACAGGGAGCACAAGGAACCATTTAAACACCACGAGCGATGTCCACAAACCCTGAACCCTCGCCGTGCCTTCAGTTCGAGCTCCGACAGAATATATACACTCTGGATGACGGACGTAAATGTTAATATTTGCAACAATTGAATATCAGGTAATATTTTTTTTTAAAAAACAAGCGTTGCTGTGGTTTCTGTGCACCATGAGCCAGGAAGAGAAAAGAAGAAAGGGATGTATAGAAATAGAAATATATACTGTATATATATATATGTATAAAAAGAAAACAATGCACAGATAAATGTGAGACATGAAGGGAAAAAAAATATACCCCCACACCCCATATTCACCCCCCCGCCCTCACTCCTTCAGCTCTGCACCGTGACAGCCTGGACACCTGAGCAGCCCGGTTCCTCCCTTCTCCTCCCTCCCTCCCCTGCAGCCGCCATTCCATGCATGCGGTGTCACCCCAACCCCGAAGACGCGCATGCACACACACACGCACACACACACAAACACATGCATACTCGCTCACACACATGTACGCTCACAAGACCACCTCCAGGGCCCCTCTTTGGCAGGGCCAGTCCCAAGGGAGAGGTTAGTATGATGGATGTCTGATTGGTAGCCCTCCCTTAGGGCCTCCCTCTCCGTCACCTCTCCGCGCTCTGAATTAAAAGGCCGTTTGTCTCCTCTGAGTCCTCAGCTGTAGAGCGCCGGCCTGCAATTTCACAGCACTCAGAGAGAGAGAGGGAGACCATTACAGAGGAGGTTGTCAGGGGAGCCATCAGAGCCCGGACACGCCTGAGGGACTCTCTCTTTCCCCTCTATCTTCCCCTGCTCCCGTCTCCTCCTGCTCAGCACCACCAACACCTCTATCCCACCGGAGGCAACCAACCCTCAGCTCACAAATATATAAATATTCAAGGCCTCGGTTACATTCAAGCATGTATGCACCCATATGCATATAAGCATGCACGCACAGGCATGCACAGCTATCAAACACACCTCATTTTAGACTACATCATTTTCAAACATACCTCTCTTTCTCTCTCTGCTGGTGCTTCAAGAAATTAACAATTCTAATCTAAGTTAAAACAAGACGTTAAAGAGGAAATAACACATTCGTCTTGAATTCATAAGCAGTAAAAAGCACTGTTAGTTATCTCAAACCACACAGGGAATTTCCTGCTATTGTCTTACTTGGCTAACGTTAGCAAGCTGGGTACCACTTTACAATAAGTCTACCCTTATAAAGGATTCACAAATGCTTTATAATTAGGTTATTAATTCGGTCGTTAACACTTTATAAATCATGGCTCACTATTTGGCAAGATCAAGTTACTGCTTATTAATCTTACTAATGAGTTACTACCATTTATGAACTGGTAAAAGGAGCCTTATTGTAAAGTGTAAAACACATCATCATTTGTTAATGAGCTACAATTAGACTCCCTTTTTACCTTTTAATTAATGAGACGTAGCATTAACTTGCTCTTGCCAAATAATGAGCCTGCATCAATGTATGAAAACTGCGTTATAACTTGTTTATAATTGTTTATTTATGGTTTATAAAGAGTTAATCGAATTAATAACCTGATTATAAACCATTTATA